CTAAGGAATGTCTATAATGATAAAGATAAAGAAGCCATGTTTCATGGACTTTATTTTTACATATATATATATATATATATATATATATATATATATATATATATATATATATACAGCTGTAGAATTTTAAATTGAAAAAAATGGAGAATGCCTCTTCAAGAATATTTTTTTATGAAGAAATGTTTGCCATTATTAATGGAACTTCTTATTTTAATCATTTCTGCCATCCTCTTTCAGTCTTTACAACAGCCCATAGGCTTCAGCTGTAATATTTCATAAGGTTGGATTGTAGAGATGGTATGATCTATGGAAGTCCTCTTTAAACAACCTCTGCAAATGGTCAGGAGCTCTGGTTGGTCTCCAGAGCTCCTGACCATTGGAGCCTTTATATGCATCAAAAGCTTTAAAAGAAAATCTTTTTTTCATATGAAAACTGTTTAGAACAAAACAGAAATTATGGCTTTGATATCAAAGTTTGTTTTAAAAATATAATGTAGTTTGTATTTGATCAGTTAAGCTATTTGGACTTTTTCAATTCTAAAAAAATCTACCTTTCTTTTAAAAATAGGAGCCAAAAATGGATTTTTCTAGAGATTGGGCAATTCCTAAGGCTCTGTGCTTAGAGCAATATCAACTATAAAACCTTCCAGCATTTCTAAGTTTATATATTTGGAATCATAACCAAGGAACAGCTCATCTTCAGCTTGCAGACAGATCCCATCAAAGTTTGATTCAAATTATCATAGTTTTTTAAAGATGTGCTCCAGAAGGTTTTCCAGTGCATTTGGAAGAAAAGTAATTCCACAGCTTTAAAGGTCCTTCACCTTATCAGTCCTTTGTTTCACATCAAATACAGCTGGAATCTCAGCAGAATTCGGCAAAATCTGCATGCGTTTTTTTGCGATGCACTCTAAAACAGCTAGTTACCTTATGGATTTGGACTTGAAGACTGTTTTGAAGCACCTGCTTCTTCCCTTAATACTTTTTTTTAAACTACATATCTGAAATAAAGAGGAAGTCTGCCTTCATACGTAGCTCCTTCATAGGATGTGAAAGTGAAGTGATTGATTGGCTGTGTAGAAGAATTAGGTGAAGGAGTAAATGGCTATTTCTTAAGATTAACCCACATTTGCTTAAGTTTAATGGCATGAAATGTTTTTTTCCCCTCATCTTAAAGGATGACTAAGAAAGGAGGCATCTGTGTCATAAGATCCTTTCAATCAAAAGAATCAGAAGGACACACATTATTAATCAGAAGTTATTAGACATTCTTATAAACTAAAAAAATCGGGTATAAATTAAAACATATTCTGTATTTAAAACTATGGCACAAAGAATTAAATTAAAACCCATTATTTTTATACAATATTTTATCATATGGGTTTTTTCAACACTAATTAAAGATACTAAGATTACAGGTTATAATTCATTAAGCATCAGACTATGCTGCTATTGCTGGGGATTATTCAATCTAATGTTATTTATACATTTTAGGGTTCGTGAATTAAGAACTTTGTGCAAAACAAAAAACATTTTGTAACCCTGAAACTGTGTTTTACCCACATTTCTACTTAAATGTTTTCTTATTGGTTCTTTAAACCTGGGATGCTGATCTAAGTAATTTTTCTTACCGGGTACTTAAATCATTTTTTGACTGTATGGGTAACCCATTACTGACCTTCATGAAACTGTACCGTTTTTATTTAACCAGTTTAAATTAAACTTTGTTTTGAGCTCCACCCAGCTCTCACCACACATGTGCGTCAGCTGGAACCATAATGTGGAAACTGTTTGCTGAGTATTTCTGCAAATATCACAAAAAAGATTGGTCTGTTTGGCTCTTTTACCAACTTTAAAAAAAGGTGCTGTGCACCTCAGCATGATGTCTCTTTAGTTTAATAATTTAGGAGCATGTAAGCCTCACCACGAGGTGCCTGAGGTAACAGCATGGGTGAGTCATCAGTCGCATTTATTCCTATGAATATGATTTCTATTTTAAAATGTGGGGAGGTCTTTGAAGAGGTGCCGTGGAGAGCTAGAAAAAAGCCTTACCTGTTGGTGGAGAAACTCAAGAGTTTAACACAAACCAGAGCTTTAAATTGCTGTAGATTTGCTAAAAGACCCAAAATACACATTGAAATTAAAATGTTACACAGAGTCAGGACTTTTCTCCTTTAACATGTATCCATTAAAACATCCATTATTAGAAAACTGTTTTACCAAAAGGTTTATGGTCAAAATCACAAAGTTTAAAACCGTTCTTTGTTTTTTTTTTTACCATTAAATTATCTGTGAAATGTAATTTCTATTAATTCATCTGTTTCTCAACCAGTACATTTGCCCCTTAACCTGAATATCTTTACTGAATTTATTTCTTTACTCTTGGTCTAACCTAGGTTTACATTTATGCATTTTTTAAATCAATTTTTTATTTGTATTATGATATATTTTTATGTAGATATTGTACTAGTTATTTTAACAGTTTATTCAACACATATTTTATTCCATTTTTGAATACATTATTGTAGGTAATGTAAGTTTTATGCTTATGTTTTCTGATGTAGTTTTTATTTTATGTATTTTAATATTTTGTAAATGCTTTTAAGATTATTAATACATATTTGAGACATTTATTTTAACAAAACATTTAGAATCACTTTTCATTTAATGGTTTTAAAAAAAATTAAATCTTGTAATTTCTAATCTTTTCCTCTGCTGAAGCAGCAGCTTGATTTTGTCTGATTTTCTTCATTCTTTTTATGTTTTCACTCTTTAACATTTAGTAGTGATCCAGTAATTTTGTTTTTAGCTGCCTCCATCTTGGTCCTCCTGATGGTAGAGTTTTGTCTCCACTATTTTCATGTGTTTGAACAGAAACCAATGGCTTTAAGTTTGTTTCCTTATTTATAAAACTTTATTCTAACTTCACTAATATAGTGAATCTGACAGCACTGAGAAAGCCAATGTAAGTACAACTGGATCCGTCTTGGTTTAGTTCTGTAAAAAGTCTCCGAATTGACTTTTTGTTGGAAAATATTTTTAAAGGGAAACAGTCTGGTTGTCAGGAAAACAGTGATAATGACTTAATGCTGGCGTTGCTGATGTCGGTTGGCACCTCTGTCAGTGAGCGCGAAAAAAAACAACAAAGAGAAAACGCCGCCTTTTATCCGAATCTCGTTTTCACCTCTTAATGTGCTTTGTGTCCCCTCAGATCATCACCTCTGACAGCCTATAGATTTTTTTTGGCTTTTACATTTTTTCTTTTTCCCCCCTCGAACATGAACAGTATTCCCTTTTGCGCTCTAAACAGCGGGATATGGCAGCAGTATGGCTGCTCAAGGACAGGCTGGCACATTTCCTCGAGTGTGAAAAGGTGAGGGGAATTCCCTCCCAGTGAGGTCAGGACACCTGTGCTGCTTTAGATGTTAACCCCCAGGTGTTCACACCTCACGTTTTTATTTATTTCAGATTTCACAGGTGCTTCAGATACACTCAGCAGTTGGAAGGAGCCCAGGTACAGTCGCTCTGAGAGGAAGAGGCACAACAGAAAATTCAGTTCTTGTACGATGAGCTCTTACACAAACTTCAAATATATTTACAATAATAAACAATCATTGATTCATACCATGTGATATTTACAGTTATTACAAACAGCAGGTTTTCCCAGCTGGGCTGGATTTTTAAAAACAATTCACATTGTCTCATCTTTTTATTTCCAGAGAAAAGGAGGAAAATCAAAAACCCTTTGAGGGCAAAAAGAGTCTGGTCAAGTTAATGCCAAAAAATCTGTGGAACAATACAAACACTTTAATCGTGTAATTAACAATCAATAACCACTTCTAGTCAAAACATCTCTGCAGAGACAAAACCGAGAAACACTTAGAAAACAGTCAGTCGGTTTGTAACAAAATAACAGGTGTTCTCGTTGAAATGAAGGCTTAAAAAAAAGGAAAACACTTTTTGTACAGGATCTTTACACAGCCGGAGCTTTCCCAATCGGACCGTTGACCAAAGGAAGACGCGTCGCAGACATCAGACCTCACACAGATTGCATATGTTTTTTTTTCTAATGAACTCTTTCTAAGCTCGCCTACAGGTTTGCCGTCCCACCGCAGCTTATTTGCATGATAGTAAAAATTGCATACAACAATAATAGTGAAGCTTGTAGCATGATTTGCTCGACGGACAGCACTTTATAGGCAACCTTTAAAGCACGCTTCTCCGTTTAAGACACTTTTTGTTTTTACTGCCCGTTGAAGTCAGACTTATAAATAGGAACAGAAAAAAAAAAAGATTGGAGATTTAAAAAAAAAGAGGAAATGAGAACGTTTCAAAATAAAAAAAACTGTATTTATACATCAGAAACACTGCATGAACCGCAAATAAATAACGCCGGACAACAGAACATTTCATCCATTCACATTTCTAACTGTGTGGCATTTCACAAGTTACAGTGACGAAGGTTTTGCAAAATAATCTAACATCGGCAGTGCCGTATAGTACAAGGCATTTGTTGGCATAGTTTCTTTAAGACTGTACTTTGTATTTTTTTACAGTTACAATATAATGTCTATATATATTTATATTTATTATTCCTCCCTAACAGATAAGTACAGATTGAGCTCTTCTCGGAGATGCACCTGGGCTCTGGGTGATTGCAGTGATCCAGAATCACGTTACGCTTTTTTTTGTAAAAGAATAACTTTTCCGCCAGCAGGCCCCAGACTTGATACCTCATGATTAAGGCCTTGACAACCACTTGGTCCTTGATTTCATCTGCTTTTAAAAAACAAACAAAAAAAAAACATTACATACATGAACACTTATCGAACTCCTTGGGGACTTTTTTTTTCGGAATATAATCAGTAGCTCAAAAAGAGAAGTCAGTGTAAAACGACGTACATCGAGTGCAGCCAGCAAATATCCACGCCAACATAATTACAATAACTTTTTTTTCTTTTTGTGCAGATTATGAAAATGATGCTTCAGTTTTTCTGTTGTTTTTTTTTTTTTCTTTTCTTTTTTTTTTACAGTGATTATTACAAGTTTTACAAAATCCAAAAAGTAGTCCTGGTTTCAGTGAGTCTGAAATGGGCTCTCCAGTGTGTGATCACATATTTCCATATAAACACGTCTCATCGGTCCGGACTCCGAACACCCCGAGATCAGGACTCCTCCTCGTGCTCAGCGTGGGGGGAGGGGGAGCGTTATGATCAGTCTACGGGCTCTGTCTGGGTCTTACTTGACCTCGTGCTCAGACTCGGACTGCACCTCGCCTCCGCGGCTCAGGTGCTCCTCCATCTTGATGGAGAAGATCGTGGCGGTGGTCTGCGTGCTCTCGTCCAGCTCCTTCAGCAGCTCTCCGCTCTCTCTGAAGTCCGTCAGCTCCTCCTCGAAGGCGGGGCTGCTCCTGCTGCTGTTGCTGCTGCTGGTGTTCGCCGCTGTGCTGCCGCCATTGTTGGTGGCGGTGGAGTTGTTGCTGCTGGGGTCTTTCGCAGCCTTAGCAGGGTGATTGATGTAAAAGCGCTGGTTCTGGAAGAACTTGATGATGGTGAGCTTGGGGAGGTCCAGCTGGGCCGACAGGGTGTGGATGGCCTCCTCATCGGGGTACAGGCCAACATCCTGGATGAAGCTCTGCAGGATCCCCAGAGCCTCCAAGGAGATCTTCCCACCGCTGCTGCGGGACTTGACACTCCGGCTGCCCTCATCTTCAGTCTCGGCCGGGGATGCTGTGGACGGCTGACGGGGCGGCAGGCGGGGGCCCGCGTTGCTCTGTTGTTGCTGCAAAGGCTGCTGGGATAAAAGAGGCTGGGAGGGGTGGAGGGACAGGGAGGGCTGGAGCTGCTGCTGACTCTGAGGCGGCTGAGCCTGGAGTGAGAAAGATAAGGATGTCAGGATTATTTCAACATTTCACTTTCTAAATTTGACACAGTTCAGTTTTAAGGTTATTCTGACTGTTTTTAAAACACTATGCACATCTGAGAACACAAAAAAAGGCATATTTCATTTTCTAAGGCCCCCAGAAAAATTACAGCGGATTTTATTTCAACTGTGCAATAAAGGGCTATTTCACCAAAAACTGTAATGCTGCAAATTTCTTTCAAATTTAAATTACAATATTTTATTGCCGTAATTTTACTCCCTCAAACACATCTTAAATTGTATTCTAAACCAAACCTGCTTAAAAAAAACAACCTGAAGTTTAGTTTGAAATAACTGAGTGGATCTAAGAGCCACAAAAGGGAAATTTGTCCTCTTTTGTTGAAGTTCTGTTAACAGTATCTTACCTAAAGCTTTTTAATGTGATATTTTATTGAAAGTCCACATTATATGGACCTGGAAGTTTCTGCTAACAGCCAACATAAGAAGAGCAGAGACCAAAGAGGATCTCTGACATCTTAAAGAACTTCACAGCAATTTCTTTAAATAAAACTTCATAAACCTTTAAACCTTTCTTTATGTTCTTGCTGCCTGTTTAAAGAGAAGCTAATGATTGATTACATGCACTTAAAAAAAATGTAAATCTCAATCGGACATTTTTTCTTGAATTAAGGAAATACGTGAGACACTTTGCCAACAGAACAAGACTATTTACATTTAAAATAGGACAAAAACAACTGGATTGTCTTATTTTCAAGTTCATATTTTGTAATTATCTTATTTTAAGAGTAAAAATATTAATTCCATTGGTAAATCATCTTATTTACCTGCTCAAATTAAAGGTAAATACCATTAATTCAAGACATTTTTACTTATTTCTAGATCGTTTTTCCATAGGAAAGCTGAAATCAATAATCAGCTATGGATTGGTTGTTTTTAGATGATTTAATCTCGGTCCCTCTCAGACCAACTTAAAATCAAACATAAGGAACAGCTGGTTCTGGACTGAATAAAAAAACGCTAAGGTATTGGTCTGCTTTAGTCAGATTTCAGCTTCTTTGAACCTTTAACCAGAATCTCATTTCCAAAACTGTCCTATCGCTTTGTTGAAACCTGATCAAGCTTTAAAACTCTAAACCTTGTTACAGGAAGCTTTTACTAAGCTTTGCGCTGGTTAACTGTTGACTCTCATTTTCAGGGTAAAGGCGACAACATCACCCTGGTAGAGACACTAAAGACCTCTACACACAGCAACAAACACAAACCAGTGGTTCAATTCAGTCCTCAGCAGCTTATCAGGCTCCAGACTTATCCGGCATTAAAGCCATTCCTGTGCACAACTCGTGCAGCGGCAGCCCGGCTGGTTTTCTACTACCGTTGGCTTTCACTTTGCCTTCGGTCGGAGTCCCGTCGGTGTAAACACATGACACATTACTTGTAAAATGTCTCATTGTGCGGCAGGAGAGGGAGCGAGTGGGCAACTCGTGGTCCCTGTTGACCCGGCGAAATGGCTGCTCTTGTGTTTTCATTTCTGAGTCAGACGCTGTCGATAGGTGTTTCATAATCAAGTTTGCAAAACAGCACTTTGCAGGGACTCAGCTTGCCAGCTGCATAAATGCACCCAGAGATGTGATATTACTGAACCAATATACTGAGCTCTGGTAACTCTTGTTGGGCAAATGGGAGTTAATTTGGCTGATGTGTCGTGTTAGTGAAAGACCTGCAGAAAATATTTAAACCCTGTTTTTTTTATGGACAGTAAGGAGCTGCAGCATTAAATCAGAAATAATCTAATTTCATCCATCTACAAGCATTTCTGTTTGCATGCAAAGTCCGCATAAAAACTCCCTCATTCCATATCTGCTGCAGAAAGAAATCCTATTACCTTATTTATATCCAGTAAATGAGAGTCTTTGTGAAACAACTGGCCGTGTATCTAAGGAACCAAAAAAACAAATCAAGCAGTCAGCTGTGGCACGGACTTTTAATAGGAGTATTATTGTGCTTCATTAAGATGTTTCTACCGTTAACTGAGCCTTTGTGTTATTTGTTATTCATACGCCAGATGTCTCGTATAAAGCAGCTCTGTTAACTAAGTTCAGCCTAATGATATCTTTGAAAACAGCTTCCTGTGAAAAGTAGGAACTTTGAAGTGTTGCTGTGGTTCTAATTTACAAGTGTTCATTATGAGTCTTAAGCGTTGTTTATTTATTTTCCCCGAATATTAGCTGAAAATACATTAAATGAGAAAAAAATGGTGCTTTTCTACTTGTTTTTGACGGAGACTTTTAGGATCTCATAAGCAGATTGTTATCAAGAGAGTCTAGTCCTGCGTCTCACAAGCAGTGTTTACAAATTTATTCAGGCTGCAAAAGTGATTCGGTTCCAAAGGCAGTTTAATAACTGATTATTCTCACTCCGATCAGATGACTCATTTAGCAACTAAACTGTCCAATAAAAGCAATAAAAACTTCTATGAATCTAAGAGTTGGATTTATATTGTATGAGAAATTAGAAGAAAGGGAAACATGCATTTTAAAAGATTTGGTTTAGTTCCAGCAATGAGGTGGAATCCATCCTGGTAGGAAGGATCTTGTCTTTATCAGAAATATTTCCATCTAACCTTAAATGTAAAAAAATCACAACAAATTCCACACTTCATTTAAAAAACAAAGATGGAGTCTAACTGTTTCCAACCTGCTTTACATTTGTGATGCAATAACTGGTCACCCGTTGACTTTAGCCTCATGCTTTGTGAATTTCAGCATGAAGGAAAATCAAATAGAGATGTGGATTGATGTTTTCGTTAATCGTTTATTTGATGTTTTGTTACAACCCTAATTAATTAGTCGATAGTTTTGTCAGAGTGTGAAGCCTAAATATACAGGTATTTGCTGACACTATGCCAGGATGGAAAGCTAACAGCAAAAGTTTACAGAGGAAACTGTTTTCTAAAAACATATCTGACTCCAATATGTTTGAAATTAGAAGAGTTTTTGATTAAATCTTTTATCAAAATTCTCCAAATTTAGTCCTTATAATTTGTCCTTTCATGAAGTTAAATGTTTTATATGTTCACTAACGTGTCTGGAGTCAGATCCTCTTTTTTTTAATCATTATTTCTCTGGGTATTGTACCATCTCAGATAAAAAAATGAATGTGGCAGCTGTTTTAAATGTTTTGCCCTCTGAATAATTAATTTCAGTGAACAATGTTCAGCTATAGTTTGTCTGCAAATGACCTTATAACACTGCTTAGACCTACTGTTATAAAAACAAACATTATACGAACCGACAGGCTGCTACTTTATATATTTTAGCAAACAGAAGCAAAAAGGATTAACCTATTTGTTCATCTATAGTTGTTTATATCAGTTTTGTCTTAATGAACAACAACAAAGTGGAATCTGTATTGTAGTTCTATTTAATTTAAGTTAACTTGGGTTTTTGCACATGGTAAAAAAAAAAAGATAAATCAGACAGTCCAGAGATTTAAAGAGGGCTTACTTTATAAGACTGTTCTAATATTTAAACAATAATTAAAGTGGGATTATAAGGCTTGTGGTTTCTCCGTTTGTATCCGGATCTGATTAAACGCTCTGCTCACCTGAAGCTGCTCGGTGGAAACGTGTATCAGGTGTGACGGCCGCTCGTTGTGGTGCTGCTGCCCGGAGCTGCTCTCCTGCTCGTAGATGACGTCGCGCTCGGCCTGAGAGAGGCTCAGGAACCGACGGATCATGGACAGGTTTTCCCAGAGCGTTCGGTTCTCTGGAGACGGATCCTCTTTCCAACGCAGGAGCTCACAGAGCCAACCCTTGATGGAATAAATGAAGGAAAAAACAAAGTTTAGTAAATGATTGTCTGTTAAACCCAAGATTAGAGCAAAGTTTGGATTTATTGTGGATCAAATCCAAACAGTTAACATCCATTTAAGCTAAAAAAAAAAACATAGAAAAATCTTAGCAGAAATAAAAAACAGAGATTAAATCAAACATCTAAGTTATTTAATTTATTACAAGCAGTCTTAAAGGTGGTGAACAGAAACCGTATGCAGCCCAGAAGAAAATAACCCCCCCCACACACACACACACAACCTGAGCCGGCACTTTGTGTGTTTCTCTTCCACAGCTGAAGAAAACGAGCAGAGTGACTGGAGGTCAAGCAGCACAGCGGGAAGGAACAATTTAGCCGATAAGAAGCACTCATTCTCACACTGAGCAGCACCCTCAGGAGGAAACAAGTGACTCGTGTGTTTGAGACGCTCCAGCAGAGGGCCACGAAACACAGAGCTCAGAGAAACCACATCTAGGCTGTCACATTAAACACAGAGTTGGTGGATTTTTATGGCTCCAGATTTTTTTTAAAGAATAAAATAAAGCCTTCAGAAGTTCTCCATTATATATTTGTAAGGTAAAGAAAAGAATGATTTTAGCGTGTTGCATTATGCTAAAAGAATGAAACAACTTAACAATTAGTTTGAAAAAAAAAATGGCCAGAAATATTTCTTTCATTTCTTACTAAAAATTTAATGTAAATGTAGAAACAGGGCTGAGCTTTATTTTATTTTTTTTTAAATATATTTCTCTTTCAAGGTCTGGCAATTTGATTCAAAAGTTTAAAAATACAAAATAATTATAAATCTGAAAGCTTTGAACTCAGTACTTTTTAAAGTAATATTAATAAAAGAAATATCAATACATTTTTTAAACTAGTGCAAAGTTAGAATACAAGTTATAAAAACTAAGTACTCTAGAAAATATATATATTTTTAAATATCAAGCGTGTACTGAAGAAAAAAGGAGAGGTGAGGTGTGCTACAAAAAGAAACAAAGGTTTTGTGTCCAAAACTCCCACAATTTCAGGGAACAGAATGATGAAACACATGCTCCATCGTCATATCATCAACCTGTTGACTTTGGAACCTTTAGTTTTAAGCGGAAAGATGCAGAGATGGAAACAAATATGGCGAGAAAAAAATAAAAAAGGACTCCTCTAGAGCCAACAGTTGCTGCAAAGCTGAATTGTTTGACTTTTTAAATTGAAATATATGCAAAAACTCATTAAAGATAAAATCAAAGTGTCTCTTATATTCCTATTTTCAGAGGTAAAGTTAAAAGTACACTGTCTCTAAGCCTCTTATTATCCTTTAATGTAATTTGTAACTTCAGTTGTTTTACTTCACACTGATTTCTATAACAAGTATTAGAATAGTTTAACTTTAACATTAATAATATATATTTTTATAGTTATATTTGCTTTAAGTCAATACTTTTAATGCTACAGTTTTACATCTTTACCCTATGAATGCCAATGTTGATCAGTGTTCCCCTACATATACATAGACTAAAATAAATACATGGAGCTGGCATTAAGGGAACCTGATCTCTGATGATTTTTTTATTTATTTATTTAAAACTACTTTAAAACATTCTAACAGAATATGATAAAAATGTAACCATTGTAGGAAGTAGAAGGAGGCAGTTAGAATAACACTAGCTTTAACACATGGAGCTGAATGTAAACTGCAGATTCACAGCTGTAGAGACAGGAGGGCTGTTCAGAAGCTCAGTGACGTGGTCAGATAGGATGACCTCAACTTGAACACCTCGTGTGCGTGTCTGCGTGTGTCAGTAAGAAATCTCAGACCTCTGCCGAAGCTGCAGAGAGGTGTGAAAGAGCGAGAGAGGACGAAGGAGAACGAAGGGTAGGCCTCTGGGTGTGTGTGAGAGGGGTTCTCTCTCAGCCCTGCGGTGTGTCCTGGCAGAGAGACAGAGCGGCGCTGTAATCTCCCGGCCAGTGAGCGGCAGCACCTTTCATTTCCACAGGATTACACCGGGCTGCTGGTCCGCTCACAAACAAGGCAACACACATGAAGACACGAACAGAGGACAGAGCCACACCGCCGCACTGCATGCGGGAGATAACTCAGCAGTTTGGTCGTCCCATGTTCCAACTCCTCCCATAAGCCACATCAAACCCAGGAGGGCTTCTGGAGGGAAGCGAGAGCGGGAGAGAGGATAGAGCGGGAGAGAGAGAGAGCGAGAGAGAGAAGGGAGAACTGGGGGGGAGCAGAGGGGGCCATAAAGCCTGCGTGCCCACCTTGTTCCTTTGCCACGTTTATTGTTGCGTTTTTAATTTGCATGCAGAGGGATTTGGACGGCGCTCCGGTTGGGCTGTCTGTGGTTTCAGCTGATTCGGTATTGAAGAACACACACACACACACATAAACACACACACCAACGCACAGCATCTTGTCAAAGCCAGAGAAACAGTACCCAACCCCAACGATGGAGTAATCCAACTCAAACACTCCCCAAACCAGCAGGATTAAACCCAAAGCAGCAGAGCCAATCAAACAAAGGCGCGACGTGAACTCCATTTCAATGCCAGGAAGTCCATTTGATTAAATAAACTACTGAGAGTTTATTAGTTCACAAGTATGAATGTTTTTTTTTTATGTTTGTTTGTATTTGGCTTTTTTTCCTTTTTATTTCTCTGCCAATTTGGGGGCAGTTGAGCTTTTAAAGAAAGAAATCATGGGCCACAAAAGGAGATTTTACTAAACATTTCTGTTTTATACGCCATGCATGCCAAGCAGCGGTTAAGTCTCCTCGCAGCCAGTGCCGAGGACAGTGGACAGTCAGCATTTTCCATGGCAGTTTCAAGAGCTTTGTTTGTGTTTGTCTAATTGCATTGCTTCCACAGGCCAGGCAGAGGCAGCAACACGGGAAAAAGATGCACATGGGGAGCAAAAGAAGATAGCATGTCCCTCGTGTCTCTGAACCACCGCCGGGAGATTTAAGGCTCCCATTTAAATCCATAGCATGGTCAAATAACAACGAATATTCTTTAAAGGTTGCTGTGATGAGAAGTTTAAATACACTTACACACGTTAACTTGGGAATTTTAGAATGCATTTTCACCAAATCAGAAAAGGAAGAGCTTAAGTTTAAGTTTGATGATTCTTTTTGTGGAAGTTATCCACAAGTAGAAAATGTCTTCTGGGGTAATTTTAAAACAACTGCAGATTCCAAGAGCTGTTTGTAAGTCAATCATTGTGCCAAAGGGAGGAAAAGTGGTTTGGATGTTTCGGAACAAATCAGGGACTAAGATTTAAGCTTAGATGAACCGGAAAACCGTTGGATCATCAGGGTCCCTGTCCACAGTGAGGCCATTTTAACTCTGACCAATTGACTAACTAGCTACAAAAACAAAAGGAGAGTTTGGAGAATTCAAGGTGGGCTCAGCATCCTGATGATACTACTTTTTACTAACAGCAGTGCTGCTGTACTACACAAGTTGAATGGGATAGCAAAAAGAAAAGATAAAAACTTCAAATCTCTTAATTTTACCTTAAAATCAACAACCAGTCAGGAAAAAAATGGTATTTCCATTCCTTGTTGATGGCTATAGAAGCCTCAGGAACAGACAGTAGAGCTAGCAGAGGGTGCATGTTCGTATCAGAGTCTATGTATACTTTTAACATTTCTGAATTAAATGAAAATCCACAATAGATGGACAAAAATGACTTTCTCAAATAGTTTTATGATGTTTAATTCGTGAAAACAAGAACAATTTAATTTGACAGTTAATCTTATAATAAATGTACGAAATTGTCGCACCAAAACAGCTTGAAGAGAGATGTATATTTTCCATAAGCTTTACAGCATTAACTTGATTCTATGTTTAACATTCCTGCTCTCACACTTGTGTTATTATCACACTGTTGCAAATCTGTTTTCCCCCTTATTGTTTAATGTAATTTGTGGAGCCTCTCAACTGCAGCTGACAAGCACCGACTGCTCTTGATTGGATCACAGAACTTGCTGCCCCTGCCGCTAAAGTGTCTCAATATGTTCCAGAAAACAGAAATCTAGGGCTCTTCAATGCAGTGTACTCTGTGTTTTGTTGTAGATCATTAAGGGCTCTCTATAAATAAATAGAACAAGTGGCTCAGGATAGGCCCAGCAGAGAAATTCAAACAGCACACAGATTTTCCCATGTGACAGTTTAACCATCTTGATTTGAAAAGAGCACGAACACAGGAACTGGGAGACTTGAGGAACTTGCTGTGACTGATAAGATAAATATCATTTACAGATGACCTGCATTCGTATGAGAAATAGAAGTAAGATACTTTTAGAAAGAGGAGTGTGCATTTTCACATCTCTGATCAAACCACGTTGTAATAAACCACAGGGAACAATGTCAGAGAGACTTGATTCAGGATCCCATCAAGCATAAACATCAAGAACTGAGATATGAGAGAGGTCAACATGTTAAAGATCTCCCATATTCAGTTTATACATCATTTCATGTCCAAATTAAGCTACAGTGGAGGATTTTTGCTGATTTTTGAAAAGACCCGACCTCTCCAATTGAAAAAAAAAATGCACATGCAAAACCCTGTACCCGCTCCCTAGAGGGAACGCTCTGTTTAAAAATTGCTGTTCTCATAGCTCATACAAGCCCTACTTTCCATTAGAAGATTTGCAATTTTTCCACAATGTCAGACTCACCACCAGTAAGTGAAAATGGGGACGAGCACATACCATGGTAAACATATCACCAGAATGATTGACAATTAGGAGGACCACTTATTTTGATGATCCAACCCCAAAAAAGAACATCCTCCACTATAACTTTAAGTTTCCTTAAAGCTGAAATCAATGCACTGAAATCCACTGAATTTGTTTCAGTCATAGACAGCTTACTGCAGCTCTCTATGACTGTGATTCATGAAAGGTTGACGGTCAGTTATTTTGTAGGGGAGTACCTCTACACCACACCCAGTAGAGCAACAGTAAGACAACC